TCGTTAGGCGCGCGCAGAAACAAACAAGGCTGTATTTCAAGGCCGCGGGCTTAATGGTTAAAATAAATACCTTCCAAACTTCTATTTTCAAGTAGCTGAACCTTTTCCACCTTTACAACTAATTCAGACTTCCTTCAAATTATTTTTCTAAGTAATATAACAATTTGTTTTTCATTAGAGCTTGTCAAAGCCGGACTTTGGTTTATTTTGAGAGAAACCAGCGCTCTCCAGAAACTGTTTAGTACAATTTGAATGACGCCCAAAGGGGTTATTGCAGCCACAATCAAAATAGAGTTTACAGCACTGGCCAGGGGTGACACTTTATTTAATGATTAAAAAAAAAAAAGGAAAAAAAAGAAAAGAAAAGAAACCCCTCCAGCCCCCTGAATCAGAAGCTAATTAAATGCACTCCCATGGCTAACAGTAAGTGTTTCTAAGTCGCTCTGACTACTGCAAAATGCAGGGACTTAACTTGTTGCTAACTAATACCAGACCCGTCCCCGCGCGCTGCCCGCGGCGCCGCGCCGGGCCTGGGACCATCGCGCTGGCCTGGAGCCCAGCGCGGGCTGCGCCGGGGCAGCCTGGGCACCGCCTGCCCACGCTGCAGGTTTCAGCTTGGATTTTCGCTTGGTATTGAAGGTGGCTTAATGGGAAGCACCGATCCGGCCCGTAAGGCCTCTGAATTCCCGTTCCTTGGGGAAAGCCGAGCGGAGCGGCGGCAGCCCGAGGACAGCGGGGACACGGGGTGCGTGTCGGAGCGCAGATCCACCCGGAGCCGCTGCATGGATTCCAGGGAGGATGTCAGGGCGCATCCCTGGCCCTTCCGTGCACTCCGTGAGCCGGGAAGCGCCGGGCTCCGGGCACGACGTGTCCCCGAGCCGATGGCACAACCTGGCAGGGAGGGCTGCGCTCCTCCAATGGGCACCAAGTCCTGCTCCTCCTGGCACGGGCCGGGCCTTGGCCTCCTGCTCTGCCGGCCGATCCAAGGCAGGATGGATTTGGAGGTTTAAAACTCTCCCACTTGCTGAACATCCCAGCTGTGCCCCATGACAGCGTCACCATGGGGGCCAGGACACATTTTGTTATATTTTTACCCTAGCTCCTTCGGCCGCCCCGGCCCCCTCGTGCAGGCAGACCTGCGCGCCAGTTCGCAGGGGCACGGGGGCTTTTTCCTGAGCTTTTGGCTTTCCCCGTCTTCCCCTCATCCCACGCTCTGCCAAGCCGGGTAATTTTACAGCCTGGCTCCAGGAGCCAAGAAAC